CCCACAGCAGCAGTGCAGGGGGGCAGGAGAGGCATGGCCAGCTCTTGCCCCATCACAAGGGGCTGGCTCTGTGTGCTGAGGGACAGGAGATGCTTCTCCTTAGCAGTCTGACGCCCCATCTCCCACAAAAGCTCATGGCCTGGGACAGCAGAGGCCCTCCAGTGGCACAGCAGCCCAGCGAGGTGGGCAGAGCCTGCTGGGAGCACAGTCATGCAGAGAGAGGAGCTGGCACAAGAGGGTCAGGACCCTCCTGGGAGCAGGGCACCCTACACCTGCTGCACTGTGCTCTCTGCATCCTGTCAGACCACAGCACTGACCTCTGGCCACAGAGACCTTGCACACCTGCAGCTGCCTAGCGATGGACGGCTGAAAGACCCTGAGGTTCCCAGAAAAATGACCCAAATCCATTTTGCTTTGGAAGAGCCCTCAGAAAAGGGTCCTGTTTGTGTCCAGGAAGGGCAGACACTCAAGGGCAGTGTGGATGTGCCAGATTGCACAGCAAACACTGTCCCTGTGATGCTGTGGGTGTCCATGGCTTCACAGGAGCAGGCAGAGGAGGGAGCACCACCATCAGCTCCATCAGCTTACAGGCTGAGCCTGTCTTGCCATGTCCCTACATCCTAGAAGTCACCACAGACCCCAAGGACAGGATGGGGTTACACATGGGGGACCACACCAAAGACCCCCAGACAGGACTCACACGGAGCAAAGCCATGTCAGGAATCCCTGCTCCCTCTACCAACTCCAAGCCCTGAGAAAAAAGATTCTTCTTCTCTATTCTTGACTTTTTCAGGAAGAGAAACACTTAAGCCACCACAGTGAGATAAAGGGAGGTTTTTGTCCCCAAGATTGTGTCGGCATTTTCTGGAGAGAAAGGTCTGAGGGCACAGGGTCAACAGCAGGACTCCTCTGACCAGCTGAAAAAGGGCAGCTGGAAAAGGCTGCCCTGCACCTCGCCTCCCTTTATCCCAGCGCCAGCACACCCTTGCCAAGAGAGAAGCAGCAATTATCTCACCGTATCACAGGTGACAACATAAAGGCAGAGAGAAACCAGGGCCCCCCCAGCACTTCCTAGGGAGCAAGGGCTGGCCAGTGCCCCGACGGGTTTGATGGAACAGGGACACGAGGAGAGCAGCCCTGAGCCGTGAGCGAGCCCCTCCTGCATCCCTGCTGCATGGCAGCACAGAAACACCCACCCTGTCACAGAAACACCCAGCCAGGAGCGGGGCTGAGGGGTCTCAGCAGCCTGGGGGTCCCCTCTGGATCACCTTCCACCAGCATCACCCCCTCAGGCTGCAGCATCACTGCTCTGAGGATGAATTAAAAGTTTCACAAAGTTTTGCTACCTCTTCACTCAAGACTGCAAGTGCACAAAGAACTATGGAAGGGATGGTTGATAGATGGAAAAAACACATTCAAAACTACTTACTGACTAATGATGCAGAAAATGTTATGAATAAGTATCCCTTTCTTGATTTATTACTTTAATTATCTGACATTCTATAGACCCCTATTAGTGGGGTTTTTTTGGTTTAGATTTCAATTTTCTGTCTCATGGTGAAAGCTATTTATCATAATAATCAGTAAAATTCAAAACCTTTTAGCAGTATTTATAAAATTCATTTACTATGTTCAGCCCTTGGAGAATGACAAAGAAGGCACATTAGCACGTGTGCTGAACTGTTTTATGCAGAATTATCTGTCCATAAGAATGATTAAAAGTTCTTCAGAATATTTGTAATCCATTATTATTTTTTAATGTATTTTTTAAAAAAGTTTTCCTTACCTATGCTGTGACTGGAAGCCGGGACCTGCTGATTGGGTGGCTGCTGCACCTTGGTCCTTATGATCCTGTGAGTAATGGGAAAACATGACCACTTAGCATTAGCCATGCAATGGCAGGAGGCATTAGACACTCTTTTTTCAGTGCAGGACACCGACATCAATACAAAAAATGCCTTTCTGCATATGCTCCCCTCACCACTCAACAAAAGACCAAAGTTTGGCAGGTGGACCCAGTGGCACATTTGTGTCCCCAGCCCCTGCTGTTGAGGAGAGGAGAGGAGAGGAGAGGAGAGGAGAGGAGA